GGAGAGAGGAGGGGGGGAGGAGCAGCAAGAGCAGCAGCAAGAGCAGCAGCAGCAGCAGCAGTAGCAGTAGCAGTAGCAGCAGCAGCAGCAGCAGCCGGTAGACTAGATTGAACGGTGGAGGAGGAAGCAAGCGATTGATTATTGAAGCGAGTGCTAAAACGGCCGTCGTTCTGTATGATTTTTTACAACAACGGGTCCAGCCACAGATGGCAGCGGCTGGTATTAAAAAGTAAGGTACTGACTTGCGGAGTAGACAAGGTAGTCCTAGACTCCTGAGTCCTAAGTTAGGTAGTATAGCTGCCACTGCACCTACTACATACTAGAAGTAATCGGGCGGTCAACATTCCAATCATAATCCCAGCGCCGTGGAGGACAAACTGCCAGGCTTCTTGTTGTCCCTTGTCCAACCCATACAACTGCTGGGAAACTACTCCGTACCTAGTACCTATCTCCTCTCAATCACAACAAGCAATGACGGATTGTCTAAAAGGGGATATCGGTGCTCCGTAACGTAGGTAGGTATTTGCACTGCTGCCAGTATAATATAAACCCTAATACATACAATACTGGCCGGTACTTTTGTTGTCCCCCCGTAAAAAAGCCGTACATCATCTGTCTCAGACTCAGATATACTGTGTAGTGTGTAGTGAGCAGTGCCTCCGAACGGGCAACCAGAGAAGAAAAATTCTAGACACGTCCTTTCGACCCCAGTTGCATGTTGAGATGTGGAGCGCGAACTGACTGATTGATGCTCTTCCCATTTTCTCTGGTACAACTCCACTCCTTTCCGTCACTTTGGACGAGAAAAAGGCCCAGGAGGGTAGGTATAGCGCTCCCTACGACTCAGGGAGCCGAAGGTCTCGAATCTGGTCTTAATCATTTCTGGGTTCCCGTCCCCGGCCGGAGACTAATAACAAATTAGCATCATCGTAATTAAGTAGGTCAGATAGATTAAAATGTCTGAGCTGCCCCGGACTTCGGCGATTCACTGGGAATAAGAAGAATCATCAGTAGTGTGGAAGTGGGAAGTTTGCAGGATGGATGATGGTAATAATAATCAAACCGACAAGAATAATGAATAATAATAATATGATACCTTATTACCTACAGGATGGAACGGTTAGTGGCGCGCTAGGAAAGGCGGGGCACAAAATCAGTTCCAGTCCAACCAAATTGTGTGCCCAACATCAATCTGCCCTTAATACCGACAACTATTATTGTTCCATGCCGCAGTGGATACTTTTTCCCCTTCGACCTCGACGCCCACCGATATTGCATTACTTACTATTGATTGGGAGGCAGACAGAGCATAGCGTCATCGCTTGGGAGAACCAAGCTAGAAGTATCAACGTCTTTTGAGGTTGCTTCCCAACCATGTGCTGTACTCAGTATACTCCGTGACTGACATGAGTGAGCGCTGAGCTCAGCTCATGGGGAAGACTGCGACAGGGAGGTTTCCTACCTCAGATCTGATGACCCTGCAGGTACTGTGCGTGAATTTGAGGAGAGTTGCCTCGATCATACTCGTACCAACACGACACACACACACACACACACACACCACGTCCATTCGGAAATCCCATTAGATTATTGACCACTTTCCGACCCCTGCAGCAAAAGACTTGTTCTCTTTCCAGACCAGAGAGAGAGAGAGAGTCACACATCTGTTTCCGGGCTGCCGCTGCCTGCCCCCTTGATGCACACCAATCTCAATCTTCGGTAGGATAAAAAGGAGAATGAGTGGGCTGAGGGCAGATCATATATGACTGATCATCATTTGAACTGACTATAAACCACGAGAAAAAAAAAAGCCCCGAGAACCCTTGCTAGGGGGGAAGGGCAAAGGCGGGCTGGAAGAATCGAAGCATAGAAGATTGTTCTATAGCGATGGACAGACGACGATCTCTAGAGCCTCGTTTGAGCAGGACATGGGTAGCCACCACAATACAGTAGTAGACACACACACGCCCCGCGACGAAGCTCCTCCTCACTCACTCATTGTCATTTCGATGTATCACGGCTAGAACCTCTTATGTGAAACTTGGCTGATTTCATCCTTCTTCGACCAGTCTCATTTAGACCTTTGGTTGGGGCGGGGACCGGCAAATCCCGTCCTCTTCCCTTTTCTGCAACAAAAATGACGTCTAAGTGTCCTTGATGCCAGGTTTTCCGAATTGACCATAAGTTATCGGCTGTTGCGATCGGGTGGGTTGTATGGGTTGGCTCTCATCGTTGTAACAACCACTCAGTACTAAGTTCTTGACACAATGGAAGGGGCGCTTAGACCGTCAAATTATCGTTCTCCTCGCACTTGAATATTCCGTACTTCCAACTCCCCTTCCCCTTACCCCTGGAACTCGATGGCAGAGTCGAATCGACCTATGTCCAATAAAAGCTGCAGTATTTCGCAGATTATTGATTGAATGAAGTGTCACATCACACTGACCGGAGTGAGAAGCGGCAATAACCTTTGCTGATGGTGGAATCGAGATCCAGCGATAACGTACGGAGCCTACCGGTATCGGGATTGGTGGTCGTCGATCCAGCGAGGGGACAACTTGTGTGCAGGCAGCCGTGCTATAGACCCTGACTTTCGAAGTCGACCTACCGTTCAAAGTATAAATCGCGAGGGGTTGGTTGCTCGGTGGAATAGGGATGGGTAGGACGGACATATTGACCTTCCAAGAAAGCTTCAATGGTTGCGGTGCCAATTCGACCATGCCCGAGATCAGATACCAACGCTATGAGTATGTGCACCGTGGTACTGCTGTGGTCTTGGAATTAGGGTCTAGAACTTGGGCGCCATCCAGGTACCTGGACTGCTCAGGGCTGGAGGTCCGGCTTTCCTCTTTGAGAGCTTTGAGCCGGTACATATACAGTGCTGATGGGCATTGGTAGCCCTACTTGCCTATTGCACCTGGTGTGTTAAGACCACAGATGAGTACTCGATGTGCGTAGAGAGAACATGTCTGTCTGCCTGGTGTTTAGCATAGACGTCAACCTAAACAGTCCTCTCCGGATTATCTGTATACCTCCCACGGATACACGTAGTACCCCTCCATCCACCAACCAGCAAATCCACAACCAACATCAACAACAATCGCAGTGGTCCAGCATATCCCCAGTCCTTACACATACTCAAGAGAAATATCTCAGACGACCCAGACAAAACCCCTTCATCGATCTACAAAATCCAAGTGGATAACATCCCAGGCTCGGGCCGGTACTGTACATTCTGAATCCCACCGCACACGCTCGCTCACCCACTTAGAGACGAGATCGTCATTGCACGATGACCGTGATTGGCACCGTCATCTGGCCCCAGGTTTCTGTTGCCACTTTGCGGAATGGAGGTTGGCGATTGAGCTTCCAAGCACGCTCCCTACCAACGACCGCGCCGTTTCATAATGCACATCTCACGTCACTTAGTATGGACGGGGCTTTTGGGCCTATACCGGCGGTACTTGTATAGTTCCATGTGTAAGTGGATACAGCTGCTGCTGCATCCCCGAGATGCTCATCTTGTAAGCGTATGATAGCTTTTCAGCGGTCTTTCTCTTTCTCATTTTTTTTTAGCTCGAATTCAGCGATGATGCCATGTTTCTGCGCCCATGCGTCACTCGCGAATACCAGGTGCCTTGTTCTCGACGGTGATATGTGCATGGTGCGCGTATTTCTGATTCGGCTTTGTGGTCGAGAACACTATCGTCGGCACGTGAGAGCTTCCGTCGATGGATGACTGATTTTTGACACTCGAAGGCTGCGGTAGCAACGCTATTTCCCAGAGAGTGTTGGGGCTGAAGAGAAGAAGACTTTCGTGGCTGTCGCTGTATGTACTGTACATACTTGCACCCACTGCAAGTGGAGTAGATTCAAGCTTTGCGGGGTGTTGGCCACCTGCAAGTAAGGTTGGAATGACATGGCCGCTTACCTACTCCCCGTCCGCTTTCCCCCGGAAGGAAGCGAGGGGGATAAGGTTTGATATGTAAGGCTGTTCTGCGCTGTACATAAACGTCCTGGATGGAATAAGCTCCCATGGGGCTGGCGAGACTTGTGCGTGCGGGATCGGGGAGATCCATCCCTGCCTTGCGTTTTCTGGTGGCATGCATGCACGCATGCGAGTTGTAGATGGGATGGGATGGAGCTTGAAAATAAGGTGATAGAATGAGTGGTGAATATATGTATTCCTATCAAGGTGTCCTAACTACCTTCTCGGGTATTATGTCTTCGTTATGTATGTATATATGGAGATGACAAGAATCTCTCTAAAAAAAGTCTCAACCCCAAACAAACTCAATCCAATCGCAAAAGCCTTCACCGTCCGACATATTTCAGTTCGAGCCATCTCAATGGGATGAAGGAGATGGTGGTGAAGACTAGCGCTAGCTCGTTGGCGATATCACCGCCGTCCTCGCCGATCAGCTTCGCCAGAGCGCCGACGTAGTAGGTCTCATCCATTCCGACGATCCAGCCTGCGGCGCCGCAGAGGAAGGAGGTCAGGCCGGCGAAGCCGATGGGCATGCGCGAGGGAGTGTCCCAGGCGTCGAGGTCGTAGTTGGCTAGGTTGCCGCCGCGGAAAAGGTAGTGTTCGCAGAACAGGATGACGAAGAAGGAGGTGTTCCAGTAGCCCAGCAGCGAGAGGAAGTTGTTGAGCACAGTCAGCAGGTGGTCGCGACCGGCGATGCCGATGGCGATAATGCAGCCGAAGACGATCACCGTCCAGATGGTGCGGGGCACCTTGCGGAAGGGCGGGGCGAACAACTGCGCGCTGATGGAAGCGGCGTAGATGTTGATGCAATTCATACCGACTGGGACGGAGTCAGTATCCGGGTATCGTATATTTGGTACGTGTGGTGGGGAAAGCTTACCATTGGCCAGAACCATCAGGACTAAGCAGAATTTCGCAAACTTCTTGGGATGAATGAGCTCCTGCAGCATGTAGCCGATGCCGCCGTCATAGGCAGCGGCCCACTCCTCGTTCGTGTCCAGCGCCGAGGCAATGCATGCGCCCAGCAGCAGGCCAATGCAGGTCGGCAGGGAGATACCCAGGGTGGTGAAGAAGAAAACCTTGACCCGGGAGGTGTTGACCGGGTAGTGCACGTAGAAGTCGGATACGATGGAAGACCACGAGGCACTGGATCCGTAGATGACACTGATCAGACTCAGGACTTGTCCGGACTTGGTCAAGCCGGAGACTGTAGCGGGTTGGGCGAGGTTGGCATGGTTGCCTGACTGCCCATAGACGATCATAAAGATGATGAAGGCGATCAGCCACATCCACTGCTCGAGGCTCATCACCACTTTCAGGCCGAAGAAGACGATGGCCAGACTGAGGCAGGCCACAATGATGACTCCCACGATGATCGAGATGTTTCCATCTGCGACGGCGACGAGAGCCTGGCCGGCGGTGATACAACTGACAGAGGACCAGCCCAGCTGTTCGACCACGTTCAGCGCGGCGATGATAGACGATGGGTAGAATCCTAGGGAATATCGAGAGATGGCGACTTGGCGAAGACCAGTACCGGGACCCAAGGTAGCACACCAACCCTATTGGAGAAAGACGTAAGCACTCTTGGCTGCCTATCAAGAGAATGGTATGCGAACCGTGATTGCCCCGCCCAGAAGTGTCGCGCAGATGATGATGGGGATGACCTGCCCCAAGCTGAGGCCAAACTCCCACCCCAAGAATCCCGTACTGAAACAGCTGAGGTTCATGGTCGCAGACGCCCAGATCAAGCCCATGGCCAGAGTGTTGGGAGGCTGCTTCTTCTCCGGCGTCACTCGCTCGATACTGTTGGATTCGATCCCCAACTTCTTATCCAACAGAGCCTCATAGTAGAGGACCTTAGGGAAGAATCCCGCGGGTTTCACCAGGGATTGTTCCTCCACCTCAGCTGTTGACAGCTTCGGCTCAACCTTGTGGCCCTCTTCCAGTGTGGGGTACTCCATCCTTTGGAGGCTTCTTCTTGCTGCTTGCTGCTTGCTGCTGTTTGGGGGACAGTTCGACCGCTCGCAGCAAGAGGAAGAAGGAAAGAAACTTTTTTTTTCTTCCCCAGAAAAATGCCAGGGCGTTATTTATATGTAGCACGGCTTATTCCGAAAAATTAATAAGAGAAACTGGTGTATGGCATTAAAAAGAGTCCCAGAAACTGCAGGCGGCGCTAGCCGAGGAATGGATGGGACCGTTTGGTTCGAGTCGGCAACTCCCAGGCACGCTTTATCTTTTGCCTTCCAGAATCTTTGGAATGTTATTTGTGGGACACGGTTTTTTCTCTTATCAGTTGGCGATTTGCCCCCCCTCAGTCTAAGCTCAAATCAGCAGAACCGCGGATATCATGATGTTTCTTGGGTGATAAGAAGATGTTCCGCCGGCTAAAATCCGTTGAACTTCCCGAGTCTAGGGTTGGGGCAGCACGTGGCAAGATACCATTCTTGTCTTGTTTGGGTCATGATGAGGCTGTCAAACCCGAGAGGAAAATTTAAACAAGCAATCTTTTGTCCATCAGTGCAGTGGCAGACAGGCAGACAGGCAGAGACAGGCTACCAGTCTGGGTTAAGGTTGCGATCCACATCGGCCCATGTGTCTCTCTCTGCAGCACGCTCGGAGCGGAGTGGGTCGAGAAGTTTTCGACCTCGGTGACCTTATAGAGCACCACCAAGACTTTGAACAGCGTTCATTCTACTGTCAGACGGCCTGATTTGTACCCTCTCCGGCCTACATGCAATCGAGAAGAGCATTGTGTAGATAGGCGTATCTACAGGAGGATCCTTCGCGGCGGAGGGCCAAAAGAGAAGAGGGGGAGCGGGAAAAAAAAGTGCAACCCTATGATAAGCTTGTCTTGGCAGAAACTCCCGCAGTGGCCCTCTGCTTGAGTGGCGATTGTCCAATCTCGCCCGCGCGATAATATCTGTCTCGGACTCTGGACCAAACCCCGGCGGCCTATCGGACATCCCGCCACGCCTCACTGCGGAAGGGCAGCCCGTGCAATGTTCACCTCCGCAAGTTGAGAGGATTTTGGCAGAAGCTAGCAGCCATAGGGTATGCTGTGTCGCTTGTCTGCATGAGCCTTCAAACAAGGGAACGAGAGCTGGGGGGTCAATGATGGTCGTCATCAACTACACTTCCGCAGAGCGGAAGTAATGGCCGCCATATGAAAAGGCCATGCGCCGCATTTGAGACAGAGTCGAGGCCTATGCCCAAACAATAGCTCAACTGTACTTCGTGACATGATTCGGTTCAAGCAAATACGTTCTTCCGATCCCAAAATCTCTCCACATTCTGGTTCTCATTTAAAAAGCTTTGTGAGTTCACGTTTTGTGGGGTGTTGCTGATTATTGTAACGTCAGTAGCCGGACTCAGGCAAGTCCATGATGGATGTGTCAGCCTTTGGCTCTCATTCGTTCCTCTCAGCCTCATTCAGCATGAAAGTCGAAGTCAGTCGGCGGTCATTAGAACAAAGCTTGGACAGCCATTCAATGAGAAGAAAATAGCAGCTGGAGTGTCGACAGCCCATTCAGAAGCACGGAAAAGAAAAGATGATATTGTGTGGTTCAAAACACTGCTCAATAATGATCTGTGTGGTTATGGTTCCAACTGGATGGAACGGCAGTCATCATGGCAGTCATCATGGCAGTCATCTATGCCATGAAGGCATAGCAGAGACAGCAGCAGCAGCAGCAATTGAAAGAGAGGGAGCAAGTGAGGGAGAAAGTATTGTAAGTGGTGAGTGGAAGGCGGCTCTGGGCGGTGGCACTCCAGACCATCGCCCAAAGAGGAATAATCACTACTGCATGCTTTCCCTCCTCCGGGCAGTTGTCTGTCCTCTTCCCGAACTTCCATCTCTTCTTCCATTCCCTTCTTTTCCCTTTACCTTTACCTCTTCTCATATTATCCTCACCACCCTCATCTTTACCTACTACCTCGCCATTGTGTCAATTCGTTGACCCTCTCTCCCTCCTCTCCCTCTCTCATTCACCTCTCCCCCCTTTTCCCTCCCCTCTCTCCTAATTCCTCATCTCCCCCTCTCATATCCTACCTCTTGTTCCGCCTTCCCACTTTTTCCGAATTCCTTCCCCCCCTCATTTTCAGTCCTGGGATGCAATAGCGCCTGCGATCTTGACTTTATTTATCGTTTCTACAGCCCTTAGCCTCAGCAGATAGCAATTGACTTTGTTCGCTTCTCAGCTGCTCCTTTTTTTGGCTCTCGCATTTAGGGATTGGTGTGATCAAAACAATCAGTCCTTTCCAATCCCCCGCTACTCGACATCCAATTATAATTACACGGACGCCTGCGTTTAGCTGGTATACTGCGCCTCTCTCTCCATTGGCCCCCCTCTTCCTAATCCTAACGTCATCGTCTGCTAGTGTCCGTCTGTATTCTTCCCTCGGCCCAATCGCCCAATCACTATCTGGTGCAATTCGTCCCATTTTGCTTTGTCCTGCTACAATGGCTTCCGAAGCAGTCGCAGTCGATGTCAACGGTGGCACCAAGTCCCGGGCCGCTATGTTGGAGGAGCAGCACGCTCGCGATGAGGCACACAAAGTGACCGTGGAGGATGTAGTGGATGAGGAGGATCTCAAGCACCCTCCCCCATCCTCGGTGGTCGAGGCCTCCGAGTCCAATGCTTCCTCTCAGCCTGCGACTCCGTCCATCCCCAAGGCTGCCCCCAAGAAGGCCCCTGCTTTCGACGTGCAGTCCGAGGAGTTGTTCCCTGCTCTTGGAAGTGGGCCCAAGCCCAAGGCTCCCGCCGTCTCGGCCTGGGGTGCTCGCGGTCCTTCCGCTGCTGCTGTCGCTAACGGCGCCAGTGGTGCACAAGCAGGTATGTGTCCAGTGGCCAGTCACATATGATCCTCCGATCCTCGCGGCTGACACAGGTTTTGAATCAGCTTCTGATGTCCCGAGAATCATGAGTCTGCCTGGAAAGCACATGGAGCAGCTTCGGCTCGCACCATCCCAGATGCTTCCCCGCGGCCAGATGAAGAAGCCTTTGCGCGACATTCTGCGCGACATTTCTCGGCGCTCCAAGGCTAACGTGGATATGCGCGGTGGACCGGGAGGCTCCATCATCTTCGAGGGTAAAGGTTCCGCGGATGCCGTCAGACAGGCGCTGAAGGAGGTCGCACAGCAAGTCGGATCTAAGGTTTGTCGATGACACTGTCCATCAACGGCATGAATGACTGACATCTCCGTCTAGCAATCCGTCCGCGTTCCCATCCCCACATCCGCCCGCCCCCACATCATTGGTCGCCAAGGAGCTGTGGTTCAAGACATTCAGCAACGCACAGGCGCGCGTGTTCAGGTCCCGCGTGCTGACGAGTCTGCCTCTGCTGATGATTTCGATGACGATGATACCATTGACGTGTTGATCGAAGGTGATGCCGTTGCCGCGGAAATGGCTCGTCGTGAGATCGAGGCTATTGTTCGTGAGAGAGCTTCCAACATGAGCTTGAGACTGAAGACTATCCCCCCCGAGTTCTTCCCTTTCATCGCAGGTGCTCACAACGCGCAACTCCGGGAAATTGAGCAGCGCACAAAGGCACAAGTGCACGTGCCGCGTTACGACACCTGGCAGACCCAGCCTCCCCCTCAGGAGGCTGACCCCGGTCATGTTCAGTTCGCTCCTGTTTCGGACAGACACATCCACATCTCTGGTGAGCGCACTGCGGCCCAGGAGGCTCGCGCGGAGATTGAGAGGCTTGCTGCCGAGCTGCAGCGCCAGCTGACACTGCGCCAACTCGCCATCAACCGCGGCCAACATCAATTCATCCTCGGGGACAATGCTGATGCTTTGCATGAATTCCTTGCCGACACTGGCTGCGCCATTGTTCTGCCTCCCGATTCCGATGATAGCGAGTTCCTTGCTATCACGGGACCTGTTGACTGCATCGAGAATGGCATTAACAGGGCCATGGATCTCGCCACGAGCATGCAAATGGCGAGCATTGACCTCTCCCGTCAACACCCCAATGCGCCTGCTGGACCTCATGCCCATGCTCGTGCCTTGACTCGCTACCTCAGACAGCGCCAGATCATCAAGGAGTTGGAGAATTTGTATGATGCTCGCATTGCGCTCCCGCCCAGCTCTAACGGCCCGGTCACCTGGGAAGTTTACTCTCGGGATGGCAAGAACACAATTCGTGCGCGGTCTGATATCATGAACCTCGTCCAAGCACACCCCCCGACCAGAATCCGTGCCGTCAGTGTTGATCCTTACTACCACCCCTACCTGGAGTCTCGCACCATCCCTAAGCTTCAAAACGACTATGGTGTTCATCTCCTGGTGCCCGAAGACCTTGATAGCTCGGACGTTTTCATGGTTTACGAGGGCCCTTCGTCTAACGCTGGCCAATTCGAGATCCCAAGACAAAGACCTTCCCCCGCAGAAGTTGCCACCTTTGAAAAGGTCCTCCAGGAAGCTCAGGACTACCTCCTGAGCGCTCTTGGCGACCAGAAGGAAGTCGTGGCGAAGACCATCAATGTGCCCAGCAAGTACCAGGACAAGGTCCGGAAATTCATTGCCCGCGAACAACAGTCTAAGGGCGAGGAGGAGATCCCCGTCCGTGCCATTGTCGGTGAAGGATCCAGCCGTACTGAGGCCGAAGTTGCGCTTCGTGGTCCTTCCCGCCTGGTGGAAGACCTGATCTCCAAGATTCAGGACTTTGTTGTGGAGCAGGAGAAGGATGACCTTGAGAGAGGCTACACTACGACTTTCGACTTCCCCCAGAAGTTCGCTAACTTCCTCATTGGCAAGAAGGGCGAGAACATCAACAAGCTGCGCGACGAGTTCGATGTGGATATCAAGGTCGAGAACGGCAAGGTTGAAGTTAAGGGCCCCAAGGCGAAGGCCGATGCTGCCAAGACCCGCATCATCAACCTTGGAAAGAAATTGGAGGATGAGACGACTCACACTCTGAAGATCCCCGCCCAGTACCACCGTGAGCTGATCGGTCAGAAGGGTAGCCAGGTGAACAGACTGCAGGACCGTTACTCTGTTCGTGTTCAGTTCCCCCGAGCTGCCAGTGACGACCAGGAGACTTCCAGCGAAGCTGGTGGCTCTCGCCCCAACCGGTCTCAGCAGGCTGCGGACGAAGTTATCATCAAGGGCCCCAGCAAGGGTGCCGACTCGGCACGGGATGAGATCCTGAGTCTGTTGCAGTGGGTTGTCGACCACTCCCACACTGCGACTGTGTCGGTGGCCCAGGCCCAGATCCCCTCCCTGATCGGGCAGCGCGGTCGCGAGATGGACAAGCTCCGCGCCGATACCGGGGCCCAGATTGATGTTCCGGGCGCCAACGATGCACCGGATGAGTCGGGCCGCGTGCAGATCAAGATCCGGGGTACCAAGCAGCAGGTCGAAGAGGCCAAGAAAACCCTGCTTCAACGATCCGGCGAGTTCGATTCCATCGTCACCAAGACCATCGACGTGGACAAGAAGTACCACAAGTCCCTCATCGGCAGTGGCGGTAAGTTTGGTCCGCAATGCTAGTCGACGCAATTTGCTAATCATAAACAGGTGCCAACATCCGTAAGATCGTTGCTGATGCTGGCGGTCCCACTGATGGCAGTGCTTCTCGGCTGGTCAAGTTCCCCCGTCCTGACAGTACTGAGTCGACCATCAAGCTGGAAGGAAACGAACAGGTTGTTGACAAGATCGTCGCTGCCATCGAAGAATTCGTCAAGGAGCGTGCGGATCAGGTGACGGTGACTCTTGACGTTCCCACTATCCAACACCGTCTTCTGATTGGCCGCGGTGGTGATACCCGCCGCAACATTGAATCGAAGTTCAACATCACCCTGGACATCCCCAAGCAGGGCTCTGGCCGCACCGAGATCAAGCTCAAGGGACCCAGCCAAGCCGTTGCCGAGGCCAAGGAGCACATTGACGGTATGCTCAAGGATCAGCAGGGTGAGACGGTTGAAGTGCCCCGCCACCTGCACCATGTGATTGCCGACAATGGCTCGTTCTTCCGCCGTCTTCGTAACGATTACCGTGTCACCGTCGATCACGCTGGCCAACAGGTGCCTGCCAAGCCCGTCTCGGAGGAGTCTCGCGGCGAGGTCAACGGAGCCTCGTCGCTGCCACTGATCACGGATGAGCCCACCGATGCCGCCGAGGTCCACTCGTGGAAGGTGATCGACAACAGCCCTGCGCCCGCCGACTCGTCCGAACCTGCTACCATTCCGTGGGTGCTCGCCGGCACCAGCGACAACGTGGCCAAGGCCAAGTCGGCTCTGGAGAAGGCCATCGCCAATGCCTCCCAACAGTCCGCTACCGGTTACCTGATCCTGCCCGACCCTAAGACGTACCGTTTCGTCGTCGGCCAGGGTGGTAGCCAGATCAACGCGATCCGCAAGCAGACGGGATGCCGGATCAACGTCCCCAAGGGCCAGGCCAAGGGCGAGGCGATCGAGATCAAGGGCAGCAAGGACGGTCTGGAGGAAGCCAAGGACATGATCCTGGAGGCAGTCCGCGCTGGCACGAGCGGTAACTCCCGGTAAACGGATTGACGACGATCTACAGAGTGCAAGAAAACACGACGTGGTTTCACCTAGGAAAGGGTTTTGGAAACAATCAGGACGCTTTTCTCTCCTCCCTCCCTCTCAGCATCATTAAACATTTCTACACCTACGATTACCATTACTTCTTTTTCCTTTTACTTTACAGTTCTACATTTGTGTTGTTATGTTTATAAAAAGAAGACTGTTACGATCAGAGATCCCATGAGCATTTTTTTCTTTTTGGGCAGCGGTTGGATTGTCTTTTTTTTTTTATCTTCCTGCCATGATTTATGCATGAGCTAGCCCTATCAACTCTCATCTTACTCTACTCTACAGCTACCTCCAATTGTGATGTATTTGCACTCCAGTAAAGGGGGGGGGGTAGTGCCTTCTGACTTTAAGTGACACTCCTTTCGCGTAAGTGTTCACCAAGATTGCAAGTATATCCGAGATTGCACACGGCACTCATGGAACATGGTATAGATATCTTCCACCTTCCACCGTTCACCTCCCAATCAACAAAGCTTCTTCCCCTGAACCTGAGCGACGTGAATCTCTTCCCTCCAAAACCAGAGCATACACCCACTTCCACAACATCTCAAACCCACTCATCTAGCAAGACCGGCATAAACATAACAAAAAAGGGGGATCTTCTTTCAAAGCCTTCAATGATGTAAAAAAAAAAGGAATGGGAATTAAGAATATACGGTATGGATTTTGAGCACACACATCAATAACAAAACCGGAAATAAACAACCCAACACACACGCACAAGAAAACCCCGCAAACAAACAAAAAAGAAAAGTTTACTGCTCAGACGCAAGCGAAGCCTTCTGCAGATATTGGTAGGCGCCGTAGGCGATCAGACCGCCGACGACGAGGAAGGCGTAGAGGCCGACGCCCAGACCGGCGGCGTCGCCGGAGGAAGAGCCCGAGGCGGCGGAGGGGTTGGCGTGCGAGCGGGGGGCGGGGTCACCGGGCTTTTTTTTCGGGGGAGTGTTAGCATTGGTTTTGGTTGTGTTGGATTGAGTTTGTAGGGTCAGGCAGGGGCCAACTAACCATGCGCTTCACGTTCCCCACGAAGAGACCGTCCAGGATCTCGCGGGCTTCGTCGCTGTGGCCGACGTCCTCGAAGGCTTCGGTGCCGTCCTGGCCGGCGACGTCGAGGAGGACTTCTTCGCCTCCGCTGTTTTGGGGGGGG